AATTGTCATCATTGTTTATTCTTTAGATGTGAACTCCATTCCACAATATAAATCACCATCATTAACTGATGAATGTCTCTCATAGTCTCCAAGATGAGGCATATCAGAAAATTTTGGCCCGTACATCGCATCATAGTCAGTTTCATACATGTGTGCTGGAGGTTCATATTATATTATACTTGTAGGAAATTCTTACACATCATCATCAGAGTCCATATTGAATTATGATGACTCGGGTTTAGGGAATAATCTAGTTTCAGTAGCATCTACTCTTGGCTCACGAAGAGATTCTTCTGGAGGAGATGATGGTTCTTCTATGACTCCGATGTTTAGTTTGAACAAGTTCGCAGATGAATGTCTTTCTCTGGAACTTGAAGGATGTCACCATATAAGGTTATGAATTAAGTGTTGTGTGGAAAGAATTTTCATATCGAGGTCGAAGGTGCTGGCGGATGAATATCTCCCCATGGAACTGGAAGGCATATCCATATCGAGGTTGAAAAAAGTGGCAGATGAATGTCTTCCCCTGGAACTTGATGATATGCTAACAGGAGGTGGGTTAGCCATTAATGACGTGAAATCATTACAGATTATTTGAGTTGGGCTGTCAACTTGATCAACTGGTTCAGGCAAGCCATCATGTGAGGATAAAGACATACCCTAAACTGCATGCATATCAACAAAAGTGGCATACATTTATGTAATAGAGTTCGAATTTTGACTGAAAGCATTAACCATCATATTAACATCATCGTCATTTGAGCAATTGAACGATGTATATGTTAATGGAAAAATTTCAGTCGAAAATCTATACTGAAGTGTAGCTAGTCTTCTATTGTTTCCAACACGGGATTTCCTTGAGATTTTTGCAATTAAATCATGAAGATGGATGTTTCTCCTGAATGATAGAAGGATATAATGATCTGATCAAAAAATAAATACGTATTCATCTTCCTCATTTTCTTCATCATAGTAAACAACAACGGAAATAAGAGTCATTTTCTTAGTTTGAGAGTTTCAAAGTTTGAAAGTTTGACAATTTGAGATTTCAAAGATACAAAGTTTTAGAATTGAAGAGTTTAAGATATTGAGGATTAAGGAACAATTCATGTCAATTATGTGAAATGGTAGAGATTCTCTGAATAATAATGGAAAACGCTTCCCCTGGAACGCGTCTTTCATTTCGGATGGGATGAAACACTAAAACATGATAGAGATTCTCTGTCTAATAATGGAAAACGCTTCATCTGGAACGTGCCTTTCATTTTGGATGGGATGGAACACTATAACATGGTAGAGATTCTCTGAATAATAATGGAAAATGCTTTCCCTAGAACACACCTTTCATTTTGGATAAGATGGAACACTATGACATGGCAGATATTCTCTGAATACTAATGGAAAATGCTTCCCCTAGAACGTGTCTTTCATTTTGGATGGGATTGAAAAAATTAAAAAAAATACCTCTACACCAGTTTTCTGGTAAATGACTAATCAGATATCTTGCAATTCTTCTGGGATATCACGATGATTTTTTCTATTACTTAACCACCTATTTAATAATATATATATATATATAATTCTATAATATTCGAAAACATTATTTAAAAATAAATTTGGCATTGATACCTTGATAGTAACGGAAATGAAATTTGCTCATTCACGAGTGGGCACAAAAAGGCATGTGATACTATGCCCATGATTGGAGTAGCATGAGACACATGCCAATAGCAATCTTTTTATAATTCGTAGCCTCGATACATTTCTTTAAACAAAAATGCCAACACTACAGACCTCCAATTCAATGTGTCAACTACTTCAAAATCGATCATGTGCCTTTACCACATTCAATGGACATGATTCCTAGATTTGTAGGGAATCAATATATCTCCAATGAGTTGTAGTGTATATGTCCAAGAAAATGTTTTTGTCTCGTCCTCTGAACAAATTTTGCGTAACTCTTTAAATTCACTTTTCAGCTACCCTAATGTTATTTGGCCGGCATTGAAACTGGGTGGACAACTTCCAAGACACTCCTTGCATAAACCTCACAATCATCACCTGCCACACCACAAATGGAAGTTCTATCGACCAGGAGCCTCAACTACATTGAAACATCCTCCAACAAAATGATACACTCCCCACATGGTAGATGGAGCATGTGCGTCTCTGGCAGCCATCTCTCAATTAGTGCAGAAATAAGGGCGGATTCAAGTTTACAACCTCTTTCAATTTTTGCTAGGTAACCAAATCCAACCATATATAAATAACGCCAGACATATCTCGGTGTTTTCATCTTCTTGTTGCGAATAAAAAACTCTAATATTTGATCCGTTTCCTAATAAATAAATTATAACCATTAATATTTTAACTAATACTTTAAAACTATTTAAATAAATTCTAATAATTTAATTAATATATACTCGATTTCATATTATTCATAAATGTAAAAAGAATATATTTTCGTATTCTTATCGTATTAGCAAAATGAGTTGAAATATGATCAACATCTAATTGCAACATCGCACATTCCATTTTTTTAACTGCAAAGTTTACAATTAAATAATCAAATGTTAAATAAAAATAATAATAAAATTATATAAAATTATTGAATAAAATAATTAATCACTAAAATAATAAAAATTTTGATAAATGAAAATAATTATAAAAATACTTATAACTTAGTTTATATAAGAAATAGATAGGAAGAATGAAAATTTTGGTGTGATTTATGTGAAGTGAAGAAAGGGTTGATATAGGCAGTCGCTTGGGGATATAGGTGGAAAATACAAGCGGGAATTTGGCGCAGGAAGAGGGGAAACGCACCTTAGGGGATGTGTCTTCCAAGGGTGTCAGAAAACCCCAGTAATGCACCTTCTAGAGGTATCGGTATTCGATTAGCGCGTTTAACCGTCGCATCTTAAACCTAAGGCATGTTTCATCGGGTGCACCTTATTCTCTCTCGTGTTAGATCGGACATTATTTTTCAATTGGTGACTGATAGGTAATTTATTTTTAGGGTGACTTTTTGGTAAAAAAAAAACTTAATTATAAGCATTGACCAAATTATTTCGGTGTTAAAGGAATGATTCTTATTCTTAGAGATCACAGGTTAGAGTATGGATTAAATTACTTCAGTATTTAAAATAGATATTAATTTATAATCTCCTTAGTTTATATAAGAAAAAGATAGGAAGAATGGAAATTTTGGTGTGATTTATGTGAGGTGAGGAAGGGTTGATATAGGCGGGAAATATAGAAGGGAATTCAAGGCGACAAGGGGGAAGGTGCCCCTAGGGGATGCGTCTTCCAGGGGTGTCAGAAAACCTCGATAAGGCGTGTCCCAGGGAATACGCCTTCCAAGGGTGTCAATATTTGATTAGCGTGTTTAATTGGTCATGCCTTAGCCCTAAAGCGCATTTCATCGGGTGCACTTATTCTCTCTCGTGTTAGATTGGGCCTTATTTTTCAATTGGTGACTGACATGTAATTGTTTTAGGGTGATATTTTGGTCAAAAAACCTAATTATAAGCATGTACCAAATTATTTCAATGTTAAAGGAATGATTTTTATTCTTAGAGATCACATGTTCGGGTATGAATTAAATTACTTCAGTATTTAAAATAGATATTAGTTTATAATCACATTAGTTTAATAAAAAAATAATTATAATAATATTTCTACTCTTATTTAAATTACTATTTAACCTTTTCATGCTTTTTATAATTTAATAAATAATAATTAATTTAGTATTTGAGTCAACTCAAATTATTGTTTGAATTGATTTACCTCAACTAAATAATTGATTTAACTCAAAACAATAAATACAATAAGATTTAAATTAATATTTTAAAACTAATAATTGATTTAGCAGCTTAATCAACTAAATTTCATAAGTACAATTAGATTTGAATCTACTATTTAAAGTTTTCATAATTACCCTCTTAAGGATGCATGCATGTGAGTTGAGTTAGATGAAGGTTGTGGTCTATTTAAGTTCGACCTGAATATTATATTTTTTTACTCGTCACTTGATCTAATTCAGATTTAAGAAGATTCTACCTAATTTGATTTTATGTACCCCACATATATAAATTATCATTTTTGTTTGATAAAATATGAATATAGTTGAAAAAATTTAGAGAGATATTATTATATTTATTCGTAAATTATATGAGGGATAATTACGCTATTATCTCATAGCATATCAATGATTTTTTATCCTAAATCAGAATCCGACTTGATCCAACCTTATCCTCGAAAAAATCAACCTGAACCAAACCTAATTTTTATTTTTTTTAAATATGATCTTATATAATTAGCTTTGATCATAATCTATCGATTCCAGTATCATGCCCATCCATTTCTATTACTAAATCAATATTTTATTTAATAATCAACATTAATTAATTAAATGAGTAAATTTATAAAATCAAATTTTGATTAATTTTCTTTAAAAAATTAAAAACCTTAAATCTAGAAAAATAGTCTATAATTATTTTTAGGTGAAAAGACAAAAGAGTTTTTTTTTTTTGTATTTTTCAAAAAAAAATTATCAAAAAAATTATCATATTATTTTTTCTTTTAATATGACAATTAATTTTAGAAAACAAATATAATATGGTATTTAGACCAACGTTTTTTATCGTTGATCTTTATAATACTGATATATCAATTTGCAATGCTAATGCGGTGATTCATAATGCTGACGTGACAGATGAACTGTCACGTTTGAGTTATCAATTTTGTCAATCTTTCATATTATCTATTGCGTTAATCTATCACTCTGGACTGCCACAGCAGTACTATAGATTGTCACATCAGTACCGTGAACTGTCATATCAATATTATAACGATCCATAACGAATTGAACGGTCACATTATGAAAAAATTAATATGAGAATTACATTATTTTTTTAAAGTAAAATGACCTTGATGACTTTTTACCTTATTTTTATTACTTATCAAATAGTATTATTTATTTATACTATACACAAATTCCATATTTTCTGTCCCGATAATGAATTTCATGGCGTGTATAACTTCATATCTAGCCACAGGTTAGGGTTTTCAATTCCCTTCAATTTATCCTCAATTCCTTCTTCAATTCCAAACCCTCCTTTCCAATCTCTGAGAAGATATCACCCTAAAAGGTATTTCATCCTAACTTGCACATTTCTCCTATTTTTATTCATTTTTATTTATTTTTAATTAATTGTTCATGAGCCTTCGTGGTATACAAGTATTCATGTTTACTGAGGAAGTCTAGCTCAATTCTCCAATTTGAATTCATTCGTTTGTGTTCATAATTGATTGTAATAGAGAATCCCAATGATCGCTGTACTGAATTTTTCTTCGAGATTATTGAATAGCATAGTTGGATTGATTTTCTTTTTCAAGTTTTGGTTGTTTTTTGACTTGACTCTTTTTTGCATAATTTGAATTTTTTTGCTGGAATGATAGTTATTGGTCTTGATCTCTATCTCAATTTTGTTCTTGATCGAATATTGGACGAAACCCCATATTAATAGCTATGGATTCGGAGAGTGAATGCTCTGTGGTTGAATTTTTGGAGGCTGATGAATACTCTCAACACACTGTCTCTCATGTTGATGCTAATGAAATCAAGGATATTCACGTTGATGAGTGCAAGAGTAAGGATATTGGGCTATGCGCAAATGATAATCAGACACAGAGGATGTACGCTGATCAAAGTGTTGGTTCCGGTGATTTCGCGGCTGATAATCATGTAAATGGTCCTGCTGGGATTGTGCATTCGTCTCCTTCACCGGCTAAATCCACCACCAAAGGCTACGGGTTGAAGAAATGGAGACGTATCAAGAGAGATATTGTTAAGGATCCAACTGCTGCCATTGACGATTCTAAAGTTTTGAAGAGAGGTTTGTCTGGTTATGAGAATCCAACTAAACCTCCACATGTGGCATCAACTGAGATCAAGCAGAATAGTGGGGCCCATATTAGACCTGTGAATACATCAAAGAACGTGAATGTTGCTAGTGGGGTTGTGATGCACAACACTGGTTCAGATTCCACCGAAAATAGTGAAGATCAAAGTAGCAAGTCCACTACCACAGCCAGTATGCCACAAGTCCTGCCTACAGTTCTGGGGTATGTGCACAGGAGAAACCATATGAAGAATTTTAGCGGGATGAATGTGTGTAATTCAAGTCCAAGAGTTCAACAGGGAAAGAATTTTGTTGAAATCAGTAAGAAGCCAAGAGCTGAAAGTGTCAAAATCAAGAAGGAAGGCTCTCCATCCAGCGTTGGATCTGACTCAAGAAGCTCCAACTTTGACTCTATGCCAAGTACATTTGCAGTGACAAGTAAAAGAAAGCAAAGTGGAAACTCCTTGAATCTTGATGGGAAAAATGTTGATGAAGCTCATGAAGGTGAAGACCAGATCAACGAGGAAGTACAAACTGCTTATAGGAAAGAAAATTCAGGTGAAATTGAAGAACTTTCACCATATGATTTAGCCGCTGATTTGTCTCGGGAGGCTAAGGAAGAAAAAAGTGAGAATCACCGACTTTCACCAAATCTTGACCCATTAGTCAACTCTATTCTTTCTCTCCAATCTGTCCAGGAAGCTCTTGAAAGTGGTGGGTGTGTTATCCTTATACTAACTTTGATAAGCCTTTTTCGTGGTTTACTAATGTCTTCTGTTCATTGCTCTGCAATTCCTGCTTGGTGGTCATACCACTTAATTTGCTCATATTTCAGTTAGCTTATTAATTTGAAAATCCTCAGAAATATTTCCCTAAGTATTTACTTAAAGCAGGTGATTACTTTTCCCTTTGTTTCAGCATTGGACTAAGATTGAAAATAGTTGTTCTTCAAAAAGTCACATGAGGCCAATTTTGAAAATTGCTATACCATTCAGACTATTTAGTCTCATCGACTGTTAAAGCTACTCCAAATAGCAGAAGGGAACTTAGGCTATATACCGTTAAGTTAATGAATCATGCATTGATAATTGACTTCAATAGTAATCATTTGGCAATGTCCTGATATCACCAAGAAAAAAAAATCACCCGAAAAGGGATTTTTTGTTGATGAATAATCTTCGGAAAGCAGCGAGTTAATTCATGGGAGAATGACAGCAAATAATTTTGCTGGTTTTTGGTCAATGTTAACTCAGGGATGGGGTTGTAAGAAGGGAATGAATGATTGATATTTGATGGTCGAAATTTAATCATTTTGATTATTGAAACGTCTAGGATTTTCTTCTTGTTAGAGTCATTCTTGATTGTATATTTTACTAAATACCGTAATCATACGAACTCTGTATAGGACTACAACATACATGTTATCATTCCTGGTGGAATCATTGTTGATTGCATATTTTACTAAATACCATAATCATATGGTGTCTAGTACTAGAACATACATGTCTTCATTTTTGGTGGAGTGGATTTTGATAAACTTTTTAACTAAATACCACTTCTTTCATGATATCTTAATTGCTGTGTCCTGTATTGTTTTAAGTTCAATGGACGAGTTTTTTCCTAGCAGAAATACATAAATTCGAGGAGATTGGGAAGGAACCTACATCTCCAGATGATGGTTCAGTCAACATGGAAAGCGTTCACGCGGATTCTACTTTTGCTGATCAGGAAACTAGCTCATCGGGTACCTTAGAAACTCAATCATTCACCTTAACGCACAAAGTAAAATATTTGGAGAGCAAACTGGATGAAGCAAGGGCCGCACTGCGGGCAAGAGAGTCGACAATTTCCAAACTGGAAACCAGTGTAAATGGTAGCAGGTCAGAGTTGCATCAAGATAAATACAGAGAAACGGAATCCAACCTTGAGTACCTCTTTCAACAGAGAATGGAGGCTGAAATCGAGTTCATTGCTCTAACAAGGGCCTTACAGAAGTTAAGAGTCTCTGTAGGCAATAGTCAAACCACATCCTTATCCGGGGAGCAAGCACATTTGTTGAATAAGCTGGGAGAGGAGTACGAGAAGCATTACGGAGTCGCCTCAGGTATCGGCAAAACCTCGAAGATGCAGAGGAGAGTATGTAAGGTGACGTGTTTTTTTACGCAGCTGGTATTACTGGTTTTCGTGTTCTTGCTCGTTGTCTTGCGGTTGACACCCTATTCAGGGGTGGAGGTTCCAACCTGAGTTTTTTCAGTGTATGATCCAAATGTAATATTTGATTATTTTATTTAGAGCCATGTTTTACCTTCTTCTCCTTGCTTATTGACTTTAGCTTCTCTCTCTATAGATGTATCCATGCTCTTTTATAATAATGTCCGATATAGAGATGAAGAAAATTTGAGTTGACTTAATTTTTTAAATTTTGAGTTAATTACTATATATAATTTAGTTATTCAAGTTAATTTGATTCTTTAAGTTTCAATAAATTTAGATTTTATAATTCGAAATTTAAATTTTACAAATTAAATTGAAATTTCCCTAATTTATTTATTTGATACTTAAACTATTATTTTTAATTCGTTTTAATACCTAAACTTTTAATTTTTTTTAAAATCATGCCTAACGTTTAATTTTTATTTCATTTTAGTACCTTATTCAAAATTTAACACTATCTAAAACCTAAAGATATTAAGGATGAGTGGCATAATTTCATCATTTTACTTCAGCAAAAGTGTTGATTGCTAGAAGGACTCAAACCTGTGCCCCTTGGCATTGGTTCAGCCACACCCTTGTCACTTCACCAAGGTCTTAGGTGAGTTATCAACGTATAAACAAACATATTCACGAAAGTTAAACGGATAATGACTAACATATAAACGAACATGATGGTGAAGATATAAACGAGAACCAAACACAAATACCTTCAAAAGTCAACAACCAAACATACACAGCTTCAAAAATAAACAAACGAACACGATTTTAAAATTTCAAACGAACAAACACAAACCGAACATAAACAACTTCAAACATAAACAAGCACAAACTTATTCGTCCAAAGTTCAAACCCAATTCATTTACACCCCTAATGTTAATGTTCATCATCATTGTCATTCATCCATAAGAGTACAAAAACCAGAAGAAGTTTTGAGTTTGTAATATCAGCAAATTTACCTCAAAGTAAGAGTATGAAAAACTATATTCTAGGCTCGTTTCAGAAGAACAACCATAATAACCATAACTGCCAATCCGAACAAGCTAGCTCTGATTGTCTTATCCATACCGTTCGGTCCAGCGTTTTCTTTCGCCTTTTCTGCTGAGGGTAAAGTAAAGAGGCTATGGAGGAAATTAGGCGCTTTACTAACCATCTCAACCACGCTAGTCTTGATTTTCTTTAGAAAATCTGAAAATGGATCTCCACCGTCACTATCTTTATATTCCTCAAGCTTTACTGAAGATTCAGAACTCCCGGGAGATACCTGATATTCGAACTTATCATCTGCAAACACAGTTTTTGTTAAAATCAAGTGAATGGTAAAAGATGCGTAAAATAATGAAAGTAACAATAGAGCAAAAGCTCTCACAGCGCTGCTGGGATTTGATGAAATCCATATAAGCTGAATTGGTCAGGACAGCATTCCATACATTCGGATCAGCAGCAATGGAAGAAACGACAGACTGAGGAAAATTAGAAGGCCAAAACCATGAACCATATTATAGTTTATAAATTGCAGGTAACGGAAGTAAATCCATAAAAGGAAGATCACAAAATCAACAACTAAATAAAGCATCCTAGTATGAACTTATAAGTATAAAAAGACTAAGTTGCACGAATCTTCGTTTTTGTTTACAGTATTCTGGCATCCAATACCCTTCAAGGATATCCAACACTAGCACCCAAATCCGAGCAAACAGAAGATGCTAACGAGAGATTATCAGAGGAAGTGGTCCTAACAACACTAGTACGAACTTATAAGCATAAAAGACTATGTTGCACTAATCTTCCTTTTCGTTTACAGCATCGGGCATCCGATACCCTCCAAGGGTATCCAACACTAGCAACCAAATCCGAGCAAACAGAAGATGCTAACGAGAGAGCATCGGAGGAAGTTTTCCTAACAACAGTTACAACACTATGAACAATCTGTAAGGAAGACAATAATTCGAAAAGTAGAAAACCGAGGGGAGGGCTAGACATGACCAAAACCTGAACTGCAGGATTCTCATTGAGCAACTTGAAAGCCTGAATCGCTGGTTGTGGTACTGAAATGGCTCCGACATTGTAAGGGACACAATCTTTGGTCTCCTCGGAGCTTGAAAGAGATGAAATACCAGACACCTGACCAGCACCACCGTCGATCGAAGATGAAAGATAAACCCTGAAATACAAAATGGAACCATAAACAAAACAAACCCAAAAGATCAAGAATAACAGTTTGGGGTTATTGATAACAGTCTTTACAAGTCAATGGTACCCAAAATTAGTAAAATACTTTCTACTTCTTTGCCACTAAAAGCAGCATTTTGGTGGTGTTTCATACATCATAATTTAGATAGAAAGAGTAACATTTCGAACTCGGATTTGAACTGTAACTCTAAACAGTAAAAACGGACACAGAGGATGAAAATATATACTGCAGCAATAGTTAGCAAACGCTTTAAATTCAACATATTTATCCTATGAAGCAATAATTAACAGTTTCACCTTGATCAATATCAACAGTTTCTAAAACTAAGTATCCAGTGAAGAACGCAATCAACTTTTCATATAGTACACCATAAGAACTGAAAATTCATCCATCAAAAGGGCTTGGAAGAATTCTGAAATGATTTAATAAAGGGATCAACTTTACTTGTCCAGTGCATCTTTCAAATCAGCAGTGGCTTCTTGAGTCTCCTCCAGGCTTGGAACGCCACCAAACAACAACCGAGCAATCCGCTCGCCTCCGCCTGAGGCGGAGATCAGTCCTTCGGAAGCCACCTCCTGTTCAACACCGCAGGCAAATTCCCAGTCATCCACCAACTCCCAAGATGACTTTTGATTGGACGAAGCTGCTGTGTCGGCAACAGACGAAGCCCCTTCACTAGAAAAAGCAATCTGAGACGAAGAAGCCGACCGAGTCGCAGCGGCGACACGCATGACGGACTGCTCGACGGCCGGCGGAGAAACGTCAACACCACCACGAAGGGTGGGCTTCAGAATTCCTACGCCGGAGACCTTCCCCACCGCCCTCATGACTCCTCCGCCCATTTCGGCGATTAGAATAAATTATTTCTTTAAAAAAAATCCACTGTAGATGAACTGAGAATCAGAAGAGTTCAGGATAACACATTTTATAAAATAAAATAAAAGGGTAAACAAACATGTTGGTCATCTAACTATTAGTATGTTTATTTTGGTCACTAAACTAATTTTTTTTCAATTAAGTCACTAACATTAAGAAAATTGATCAATCAAATCATGAACGTTAATTGATTAATAGAATTTATGACATGAATTTTATAAAATAAAATAAAAGGGTAAACAAACATGTTGGTCATCTAACTATTAGTATGTTTATTTTGGTCACTAAACTAATTTTGTTTTCAATTAAGTCACTAACATTAAGAAAATTGATCAATCAAATCATGAACGTTAATTGATTAATAGAATTTATGACATGAAAGTTTTTAAATTTGCATAAGAACACAACCAATCTCTATTGCAACAACAATTTCTTTTTAAAATTGATAAAAGTGTTAATGAATGGTTAAAATTATTATTATATCGATTAAAAATGTGACACAACATTATTTTCGTCATCGATTTAATATACCATGACTTGATTGATAAAATTTCCTAATGTTAGGGTTTGAATTGAAATTTTTTGTTTGGTGAACAAAATAGAAATATCCTAATAGTTGGATGACCAATAAGGAACTTTGCCGAATAAATGTATATTTGTTTTAATTTTTATTTTTTCTTTCAAATCATCCTATTTTATTTGAAAATGAAAGGATATTTTCTAAATTCAAACGGCGGTTGACGTGAAAACTTGTAATTTGGAAGGGACCAAAACGGTCTGTCGTTTTGATTCCTTTGGGGGTGTTTATATGGAGGATTGTGAGATTATTGCGGGAAATTTTTTTTTCCCAATATGATTCCCTCGTTTTGATTGCAAAGATTTCTAATTCCCTGTAATAAATCATCTTAACAGTGATATTTTAGGGGTTTATTATAGAGAATGTGATTTCCCTTAATCCCTTAAGTATTTGTCATTTCCTGACGTTTTGGATTAAAATGTCCTTAAAATATTTTTTTTTCAAAAATATTCTTCTTCTGACGTTGAATAAAAAAATTCTACGAATGTTAAATTATAAATTTATCCTTAAACTATTTTAGATTTATAAAAAAAAGTCCATAATTAGAATTTTATATGAAATTCAGGGGTTAAAATAAAATTAAACTCTTTCATTAAACCTATTTATCTTTTAAATTTTGTAAATATATATATATATATATAAATTTTATGAATTTAATTTTTTTAAAAATATATAAATTAAAAAATAGTAAAATTATATATTTTCTATGATCTTTTATACAAATATTTTCATTTGAATATTTAGAATTCAACTTGTTAAAAAAACAAATATATAATAAGGACAATTTGATAAAATATGCATTTCAATAATCTTTTATTCATTTAACCAAACACTGTAATCTTACATTCCTGTTAAACGAACCAAACACAACAATGTAACATTCTCAGTAATGTGTTAGGTAATGTTACATTCCGACAATCTTATTTCCGGAAGTAATGTTACATTCCATAAATCAAATGCACCCTTAAGGTGAATTTGCCTTGGAATACCTCAATCTCACGTAAGATAAATGCATTTTCAACTTATAAATTTATTATCATTTAAATGTTTTTTATCAAGGTTTCGGGTCGAGCATTATGAATATTAAGAGTTTGAATATTCAATATTAAATGGTTGAGAATTATCTTTGAACTGGTGTTATCTTTTACTTATTTTAAATTAATAAAAAACAAAAATAATTAAAAAATAATTCATACTCCAACATACTTTCTTGTATTTTTATGGAGGTTTGACACTAAAAAGTTGTAAAAATAATGTTTAATGATGCCTTAATAATCTTATAAGCTTTAGGATTTAAGTATGTTTCGAAAACAAATGTTTAGAAACGTTTTGAAGTAGTTTGTTAAGTCTTGTTTTGAGTTTTTTAGGTCGTAACATCGATATTATTCATACAATAATAGTTTTAAATGATTTTTATTTTTGAAAAACTTTTTTTAAAGTGAATATCAATATCGTTCATACAATATCGACATTTTGTTGAATAATATCAATATTAAATGGTTCATAATATTTTAATATGTCATTTTAACACTAATATCTCTATCTGAATAGTGATGACATTAAATGAGTACTGATTTTTCTTATTGTACTTTAAGATAATAGTTTTATATATAAGATAAAGATCCAATTACATAATGTAATCAATGGATGAATAAAAAATTAAATATTGATATTAACAACGGCTCGAACTCAATACCTTTAAGAAGAATAACTAATCCTTTAATAACTGAGGTCGCTTGATAGGTTCACTTCCTTTAATAACTGAGGTCGCTTGATTTTTTTGATAGGTTCACTCCAGTATAATTTGCGATATCAAATTCAACCTCGAATTTTAAATTCTTCTAAATTGATAATGCAAAAACTACCTCATAGGTTCATGTGAGAGTAAAACTAATACAAACGACCTAAACTTATAAAATAGATAATAGAGACATCCGCTTGCCGAGTACCATCTGCCCAGGAACCACGCATGAACAGTCAACAACAAGGGGAAAAAAACTTGTATGACGAAAATTAACATAAAAAGACGTTTCTACCGATGCGAGTATCGAATAAGAGCATACGACTAACACGGGTACTTTTTTAGCGTAGTTGGAGAGTTATTAGATGTCTATATTTTGTACCTAGGTATGGTTACGAGTCCGTCATGAGTACTTCGAGAAAAATAAAGAGTCGGAACAGCATAGCATGGTATTCTCATACCTTGTCAAGATGATGGCTCCGATGGACTTGCTGCCTGCTTTGGCCTGAACTGTCTGGAAGGAGGACCATCTTTTCGTCTCTCGTATTTTTTGCTTACGTATTTTGAATCTTTTCTTGCCTTTGGTTGATAAGTAGGATATTTGCAGGGTATTATTTCACCATTGATATATTTATCACCTAAAAGTACACGAAATACAAAACCGTATATTATACATATGACCGTAATCTAGTCGTATGGTGCAATGAAAACTTTCTCTGCATAACTGAAGTTGATTAGATTAACCCACAACTTACCTCCATAATCTTTATTTTTGACATCTATGTAGGAATCAGGAAGCACCCAAAGAACTCCGGGCAATCCTACATACAAAACAATAAACTTCATCCTCAAGTCACAGATAACAACATCATTTAAATCTATGTGATTCAGATTCGAATGCGAGTTTCATGTATGTATATGTTCTCAACATCGATAAACACAATATTTCTAAACCTTTCCACATATATGGACTATGGAGGGTTCTTGGACCACGTCCGAATATGCATCAAACATAGGTTTCAAACACGGGCATTTCAAGTAAAACGAAGAATCAGAGTAACATAGGTTTGGATAAAAGAATCATAATGAAAATCTTCTTACCCTTGAACTTCTCCGAGGTTTCTTCAGATACGGTGCATTGGAAACCAGTATACGTAGTGGTGCTAAAAGCATACATGTTCTTCTTTGCTTCTTCCATGCTGTAATAACAAAAGGGGGAAGGAATCGAATCTTAGATTTGTTCATTACGATAACTGAGTTTACATACACTCACTGAAATGGTGATTATTGCTTATTGATTTATTACACCCTAGTAACGTAGCACAAGTTCTTAATGATTAAAGACCACGGAAAACCAGAAAGAAGGTACGATATTCGAGTTTTGAGCTTCACTAATAAGCATAAATGACGGCGAAGCTAGCTAGTTAAGATATTAAGTTCATGACACCAACTCACTCTATCAAAAACCTTTTGAGGTTCCAACAATCTGAGGTGACAAATTCAGGTAAACAGGTACATTTCAAGCCTAAGACAAAGATTCTGTCCCTAGTAATGTCGATCTCTAAGGATAAACTGTTATGATGTTGTCCGAAAATCGTTATAACAAGCGAGACGAATTGTAAATCCTTTTCGTCTTCATTCTGCTTTTTAACTTCCATTGGAAACTAGTAGTTATGAAAACTCAGAACATTTATGAGCAAATGCAATGTTCAAACTTGTTTCTTTAAATCAATCCAAGGCTCCATCTTTGTTCATAATCTTCAAGCTAAAACAATTAAATATGTCAACATGATAATAAACCCTTCCCCTCAAACTCAATATAATTAACAAAGGAATCCCTTTTCAATGTTTAGATAAAGAACTAAGAGGAAAAAAAACTAAGCTGCCCCATTAATTAAGCATTTCCCATTCCCAGGAAACAAACATACACCAAAAAGAGACAAAACCCACAAAATCTCACCAAATTTGACATTTCCCCAGCAAAACAAAACAAACCCAGAAAACAAAGAGGAATCCTTAAGTACTTCACAGAAGAAGAAAAAAAAAAGTAAAACTTGCATAAAATTTTCATATTTTTTCAGAATTTTCTACTGAAGAAAAAAAATACCCATAAAGAAGAAAGTCTCACCTGCCAAGGACAGTAGCAAGAGTGTTAAGATAAGTCTCAATCATCTGTTCTCTTGTAGGAGCAAGTCTTTAGGGAACTCCATAACAATAAACCGATGGTTATAATCACAGCCGGGTAACATTATCGTTTCCCTGGGCTCATTGCTGCTGCTGGTCCTCTTGGGTGAATAGCCACTGTCGAGTGCTGCAGCTTTGATAACGCGAGGAGGGCGAGTACTCGATGATGAAGGAAGGTGGTGAATCGGTGAGTTTACTCGGATAGTGGGAGGTGGTGGAGTGAGCTATGGACGAGTTGAAAGAAAGGGTTTTGAAGGAAGAAGAAGAGCAGAAGGGTTTAACAACGTCACCATTGGAAGTGTCGGAGAAGAAAAAAATTAGATTGTGATGCTTTTTCCCAGTGGATGAAATTAGGCCGGTAAACGAACCTCGTTTATTAAGGAATATAACTTGTTCATGTTCGTTCATTTAATAAATAAATAAACATAAACGTTGGAGACCCTACCTAGGGGTGTAAACGAGCTAAGTCGTGCTCGAGTATTGATGAGCTCGACTCGAATTCGAAAACTTTTAAAGTCAGCTCGACTCGAAAACTAGCGAGTTTAAAATTATTAAGTTCAACTCAAACTCGAAATATAATATTGAAACTCGACTCGAACTCGAAAAAACTCAAACTCAAAAAAAAAATTAAGAGCTCGATTCAAGCTCGACATTGCCCCAAGCGCAAAGATGCTTAAACCTATTCTCCACATCTTCTTTTATATAAGTTACCAACCCCGAGCTGCTTATTTGTTACTGACGTGTGATTGCATAACGTTCCTCCACTTTCTTTCTTCCTCTCTCCTTCAACAACAGTCGAGATGAACACATATTGTGTTTCATGTGATTGCCGACCTTAATCCTTGGGGATCAAACAAACATGTCCTTAACTTCGTGTTATGTAGAAGTTGAAAATTAGGATTCCTCTTTGCTCATCGGATAACTAGCTGGTGGCGCAGTTACATAGGGTTTCGGCGCAGTGGATGTTGACAGTGTTGGGTATGCAGCTTATGGATTGTTCAAAAAGAACTAAACCATGTTAATATTATTGGATTTTCCAAATAAAATTGGGTTAATTATGGAGTTGGACATCATAATATCAAATTAATTAATATTTTTAAAATATTTACAAATTGGTCACCAAAATTGATTTAAGAAGATTGGGTTAAACATAAATGAATGAACATAAACGAACATAACCAAACGAACATAACCGAACGAACATAACCGAACGTTCACGAACGTAAATGAACGAACGAGACTTATGTTCATGTTCGTTCATTTAATTAAACGAACACAAAATCTTGTTCATGTTCGTTCATTTAATAAATAAACATACTTAAACGAACTTTTCGCCATACAATTCATGAATGATTCGCTAAACGTTCAGTTCATTTACAGGTCTAGGTGAAATTGAAGGAAAACGCCATAATAAGGGTGTTCGATATTTTTTCATGTTTGGGCTTAGCAATTTGAGTTCGAGTCAGTAATTTTTTTCATTGGGCTAACAGTCCAAACTTAGGTAAAATTGGCATAATGAGTAAAAAAAATAATCTGGTAATCTCTAAAATTAATTTAGTATTTACATAAAATTTTATTATAAAAGTAAAACTTGTAATGTTAACGTGACAAGTTTTTTAAAATAATATTTTTATTTAAATTCATCACATTGATATAATAAATTTTAAAAAATATATTTTTTATTAAAATTTATTATATCATGATGACAAGTTTTAATAAAAAAAATATTTTATTGAAACTCATCACGTGACGAGTTCCAAATTATCGTAGAAAATATCGTGGATCCTAAATTAATTTTGGATAAAATGATACAGTATTTCATTAAAGATAGCCACTACGACAAGCAACCGCCATCGCAACAGCCTCCTGCTAAACACGGCTTAACCGCTGTAATTGCTTAAACGAAAATAGCAACGACAGCTCCGATGACGAGTTTGATGCCTACGGCGAGTCAACCAACGGCGGATCACCGCCGGCCGATGCTTGCGAAACGCTGAAGGTAAATCTTTTATTTGGAATAGGTGATAAGGAATGAGATCTTTTCTTTTGGAGTTGTTCTTTGGAATCTTTGGAAACATAGAAATCTGTGTGTGTTTGATACTTCAAGATTGGGAATTAGTTTGGTCTTTGAGCAAAGTAGAAGACTGCAGGCAGAAAGTATTAGATTCACGATAGCTGACGCAAGCTTTAATCAACGTGTGCCTTTGAATTGTTCAGGTGCAACTACATGGGAACGTCCTCCTGAGGAATGGTTGAAGCTGAATACGGATGGGACAAGAGATGCGAAGGCTATGCGACATGTGGGGGAATAATCCGCAACAGCATAAGTCAATGGATATTCGGTTTTGCGACAGCAGTTAGAATTTGTTCAGTATCGGAAGCAGAACTTCGGGGTGTTTTTGAAGGTTCGAGGAATGTCTGGAGTCTTGGGGCAAGACGTACTATTATCGACGTCGATAATGGGGAGGTTTACCGAATCCTGAATCGGTCCAATTTGAGAGAAGATTCACCAACAATTATTTGACATTTGTGAGCTTCCTTCTCACAGACACGTCACGCAGCAAACAGAGTTGCTGATTATGTCGCGTAGATGGTCCAACAGGATGACTTTGAGGGGAGAATATTCTGGTCTGCTCCAAATGTTGTTACGACGATTAGGGTCGGGTCGGATTTTTTAAGTGCGATATTCAGGTCGGATTGGGTTTGGGTTTAGGTAGACCTGATATGACTCGAAAAATATATAATTTTATTTTATATATTTAGGAATAGTTATAATAATACTCCATCTATATATAATTTTTTTTCAATTAAGTCATTGTTTTTATTGAATAAAAATTATATTTTTTATTATTTTGGGTCGGGTCAAGTCTGGTTTTTAGTTATATATTGGGTCGGGTTCGGGTAAGGTAAAATCTTGTTTTGATCCGGTCGAGTCGGGTCTCGGGTGTAAGACCCTTGTTCTCGGGTCGGGTCGGGTGGACCAAAAACCCAACCCGACCCATGCCTATCCCTACCCACGATCCTTCTTTAAGATTGTCTAGGTGCTAGTAGTTAACACTACTGACTCTCTTTCTTTGTTTATAAAAAATATTAATAAGGTGTAAGGCTAAAATTTATTAAGTTTTTATATTTCAAACGAGTCTAGAGAACATAAACAAACATGTAACATCCTCAATACCTGGTTAGTGACTAAATTGTAAAATTTCAGAATTTGATGATAAAAGTATAATGGTTTAATAGTTTAATGATTTATTTAGAAATAATTCCTTAAAGTTATTAGTAATTATCAAAGGAATTAAAGGGTAAAATAGTCATTTGACAAGAAATATTTTTATTTCCTTATAAGATAAGGAAACCACGTGGAGATGAAGAATGAAAATAAGCTTCCATAGTTATCTTCTTCATCTTCTTCTTCTTTCAGCGTGAAATCTCAAGCAAAGGTGAGTTTCTTAATTAGTTGATTATTTGCTGAATTAAAGGTTGGGTTATGATCCTTAGGTGATACTTAAGCTTAAAGAAAGCTTAAGTTGTGTTATAATCAAAAGATGAAGAAGTTATAGAAAATTAAAGAGAATGAGTTTCAAAGTGAAATTTTGAATAAGAGGGTTTAAATGAATTTAGAGGTTGAATTTGACTTGTCATAAATCTAGTTAAGACATAAGAAGTGTTAGAATTGAATTTAGAACATGTTGAAATTTGAGTATGATTCTTGAATTTCATGAAGATGAGAGGATATTGAGGTTAAAGATGTGATAAATTAATATTAGTGAGGCTAAGCATGTGTATGTAAGTTAGGATTATTAAAGGGGAGGAAATATGAAGTATTGAGCTGAAATGAAGTAATTCACGTGCTGAAAATGTGAACTTTGGGCCAAGGGTATGGGTACCCATTCAACAGGTACCGATACCTACTTTAAATAAGCAATGAAATTACCTTTCCTTTAGTTTAAGAAATGAAAGTTTAGGATATGTTATTAGTATACTGATCTGTATCAATGTATTATTATGTAGATATAGAACGTAATCATGTTCCGGAACAATCGAAGGATTAGAATCGAGTCAAAGTAAGCAAGGCTAATGTGAGTGCATATACTAGATAGAATTGTATGGAGATAAGACTTGTGATAAGTCTATCTCTTATAGTTGAATTATGATTTCATAACCATGTACATGCATAATTCATACATGCTTTAATATGATATAATATGAATGAATATCGTTATAAGATAATCAATACAAGTATGTGAAATAATGGAAATGATCATATGTGTACATGTGAAGTGAAATATGTGTTTATATGAAAAGTGATGAAAAATATATGAAAATGAGAAATGTATTCATATTTAAGCCCATGTTATTTAATATGAGAGTTGTAGGTATAATTGGTATACCAAGAGTCGAGGGATATACAGTGGTCCTTCAGGACATAGTGGTCCTTCGGGACATATACAGTGGTCATTCGGGACAAATATTCAGTGCCCCTAGTGGGAATTTATTCGAGCTGTGGTGACAGCATTTGTGCACAACCTCAGTGTACTCATATACCTCATGTTCTCAATAATGTACATGGGCAATACAAAGATAAAGTGAAATGAAACTTGCATAAGAAGATAAATTTCATATATGCATGACATGATCATACATGTGGTAGTGTAATGGATACATGCATGTTATAATGTTACGATTGAACGATAAGAGTGCATATTTCATGAATTCATTGTTTATATATTTAATTATGCCTCACCAAGTCTATGACTTAGCGAGTAAATGATTTACACGTAGGTACCAAGAACCAAGAATAACAGAAATAGGAGTGGCAAGAACAACAACACTGCTAGAAGATCTGATCAGAAGTAACTGATAAAGTATGTATTTTGATTGTGTATAATATGTTGGCATGTAAGAAATGTTTTAGTACGAACGCTCTGATCGATTTTTCTAATGTTTTAAACGTATATATGTAAATGGTAATTTTGTATAGCGATGAAAAGTTAAATTTTAAGAGTTTATGTATGTTTTACGGAAGTACTGTAGTAGGGTATCGGTACCCTGGTAACAATCTGGAAAATTTTTAACAGTTGACACTGTTCACGGTATTGTTCATACCATATAATACTGTTCATAAATATGTTTTTGCCTCAAAATTTTATAACGAACATAATTCAATAATATATTATCGTATTTTCTTAATATAAGTTCAAATATTCTGTTATTTGGTAAGAATATTGTTTTAAAAAGTCAATGTGACATCTCGGACTCGTATTCGAGTCGGGTACGGGTTGAGGTATTACGGAACATAAATGAACAAACATAAAAGAACGGATTATTGAATATTCACGAACGTAAATGAACGAACAAATCCTTTGTATGTGTTTGTTTATTTAATTAAATGAATATAAAATCTTATTAATGTTCGTTCCTTTAATAAATAAACGAATTTCTCGTCGAATGATTCACTGAATGTTGAATTTGTTTGGAGTACTACTTACATGATAAAAGTATCATTATTTTCAATATCATTATTATTTTCTCAATTATTAAGATACCATCTCCAAATCTATAATTTCTCTCAACATTCTTTTTCTAATTTTATAAAAATATTAGAATTTAAAAGTTGAAGATTTAAATAAACAAATTGTTAAATAATTTTTATTAATTAATGCTATATTATATAATAAAATTATTATATATTAATTAATTTTGGTGCCATATATTGACTAACAAAAACACAAATTGATATGAATAAAATTATTAACTGTATTATGATTACTATTTAGTTTATAAGAGAGAATATCTATAAAAACAACCACCAGAGCGCTTCATTCCATAACACGTCCTTCTCTTCTACTACTCATGACGTCATCGGTCGGTGGCGGAGGCAGATACATGGCCTTCTCTCCGTCTCCTTCCGCACCTCACTCCCCCCACCTCTCCGGCCTTCGTTCCGCTGCCACCGCCGCTGCTCTCCTCGATCAAGAGAAGTAAGCTGTTCGTTTTTCTCCTCTATTTGTCCTTCCATTAATTTTAATCTGATCGTTTGCGATCTTCGCTCTGCGGTTAACGTAGTGATCTTGGCTCTGATCTTTCTGTTCTCCTTACGATTGGTTGGCTTACTGTTTAAATGTTTTTTGTAGCTCAATTGTGCTGCAGTTTCGTAGATCTAGAGCTTGATCGTTCGTTTTTGAACAGATTATGCTTTTCTGGTTGATTTTATTAACGGATCAGTTCAAATTTTGGAGTCAATAAATTTCTAGTGTTGTATGTGTGTAGGGATGGGGGTTGCGGTTTAAGTTTTGATCTGGAAATAGGTGTACTGGATCAAAAGGGATGGTTGAATATCTGCAATTTTTGTAATATCCGAATCGGCAATTCTGCTTTAAAATCTTAATCCGTTTATTATCGTGTTAGATCCGAATCTGCTGAAATCTAAGTGCAAAATATTTTAAAAATTAAAGCTTATAATTGCTTATCGCTGTATCCAAATCCATTATGTGTTGAACTAAAGCAGATTCGGATAATGGATATCCGAGAGGTGATATCCGCATCTACTTTGAATCCCTGCAGATAGTAACCTATAATATTATAGTTTTATACTAATCTAGTTATCCACAATATCTGATTTGCAAAAAGGTATTCTAACTGGTAACCACAAATAACTATTGCCATCCCTGCAGAAGAAGCTAAATAAACTGGGGATTGTTTGAAGTTCCCATTACTGACTTTTGTCCAACTTTAACATTACCTTGTTTAGATGGATGTGTTAATCTATTATTGACTATGGTATCTGTTTTCCCTTTCGCAGATATCTCTCGGAGTTACTGGAGGAGCGTTACAAACTTACTCCATTTATGTCAGTGATCCCTCATACGTGTAGACTGTTGAACCAGGGTGAGTTCGTCTAAGTAATAATCTTCTTTTTCTTGTCAAAGGATCATGCAGAAATATCTTCTTCCCTCCTTGTCATCACTAAAACATCAATTTAAGCTAATGGTTAACTGCCAAATACTAACTCGACAAGTAACTCGCTGGAAATGGTAATTAAGATCCACTAACTCAAACTTTATTACTAAATCTCCCGTTGAAGTTAATTCTATTGGTAAATCTTGTGAATGAAAACATGGCCCTTGTGTCATGACAAGCTGTTGGTAGAACTAACTATGACCGATGTGGTGGATCTGTGATTGAGGTCCAACTAAGATTGCATTTGATTGGATACTTGCATACTCTTTTCAATTTATTTTGGGTGAAGTAATGATGATACAACATAAATTATGGTTCTAAATTACTTAAAAAAACAATGCAGTGATGTTACAAGAACTTTGATGCCCTTCTATGTAACAATGGATGGTTAGACATTTCATAGGAAGGAATGGAAGTGAACGGTAAATAAGAAAGAAGAGGATGCTACTGCTGTCATAAATAAGAGAGAAGAATAGTATAGGAACAAAGAGGGAAGAAAAATGAAGTTTCTGAAACACACTAACAGTGGTGAGGGAAGAGAATGGATGTAAAGGAAGAGTTACAGAGGGGAAAGCTTGTGGTTCTGCTGGTATTTATCTTAGGACGAGTCTATGGTTGGAATTCATCATATGATCCCAAGGTATCGTGAGGAACTTAAATCTTGGGGAACTTGCCTGTAAGATTTAGTTCTTTTAGGTTAGTTGTGAGAGACTTTAGTTGACAACTTCTAGCCACAATAGATGGTTATATGTTTTCTCTCTTTTATTGTACAAAAGCCGCCTTGCAACAATGTGCTAATGTTTGGTGTTTGTTGTGTTCTTTTTCCTTTTCAACTTCTATGATATGATATCTGATTCTAACAATTTCTTTGGTTACTCCATGGTTCTGTGGGATAGCAGGTGAAATAATTCTTTTTAATTAATGTAAAAATATTTAATATCGATTTATAAGTAAACCAATATAAAGTTCTGTTGTATCTTTCATTTCTTATCTTACTAGATTGCTTTCTGCTGGGAGAGCAGCTTAATTCATGAAGCCAGAGCTGATATTTAACTGACTACTTTAACATTGCGTATAGTCCATTTTGTGGTGACTGCTAACTGATTTCTTAACGCTAACTGGTACATCTTATTCTTGAAAATTGACATTTTTGGAGCAGAAATTTCGCGTATAACTACACTGTTGGGGAAGGCATCAGTTTTAGGTCAAAGTGGGCTTAAACAAGCTAGCCCCCTGACTTCTGGAGGAATGTTTTCAAATGGAGGAGCTGATGTGAACAGATGGATATCACGGTTTCAATCAGAAGTATGACTACTAACCATTAACCTAACTATTTACCATCTAATTTTACTGCTTTTAGAGGTATTGCTGACTTAATACTTTACTACATTTCATGCTAACCTAACATTTATTTGAAATATAGCTTGTATTGTCGTTTCTCTTTTGACAGGAAATCTGAGGCTAACATGAAGAAGTCTTGAAAACTATTTTTATCTTAAAAAATGTTTCAGGCTCATTCTCAGGTTTCTATCATTGTCAAGACAAAATAAGATATGCTGGGGATGATAGCTAGCTGTAGCATTATATGGTGTTAAGCTTCAGTTCTCTTAGGATGGAAGCCTGAAATGTTTCTCGAGTGTGAGACGGTGCACGTTAGGAGCTTGGATAAGAGTGCTATTTTCCGAACTGTGTGCTTTATTGTTGACATTAATATAAACAGCCATTTTTACCCCCCCCCCCCCAAAAAAAAACTAAAAAAAAAGTGGTTTACATTGTTTCAGTTTCCTTTTGTATATTTGTGGTAAGACTATCTTACTCATATTTCTTAGACTCTGCTTTAGTAGTATTCCAATATGTTTTGATGGATGACAGTGTTAGTCGGAACCATGTTCATCCGAAAGCTCTTATATTGCAGCTTTTAGACTACCTCAGGTTTTACTCATCTGTTATTCTTTGTCAGATCGATATCTTTGTACAATGGAAGACATTTGCATTTTTCTTTTAATATGTCTTATTTATTTGTTTTAACAAAACCTTGAATATTATGGTGCAGATACCAGGGTCAATGCAGCCCTCTCTTACAGAGAACTGGCTGAATTCTCAGGGTAGCTCTTCCGGTCTTATTGTTAAGAGAACAATCAGAGTGGATATTCCTGTCGACAAATATCCCAATGTATGAATGAACTCGTCTTCACAGTGTTTTTAGAGCATTTCATTTTTTGTGCCTAAATGAACTTTAATGTTGCAGTACAATTTTGTTGGGCGCCTCCTTGGTCCCAGAGGAAACTCTCTTAAGCGTGTTGAGGCCAATACAGATTGCCGTGTCCTTATAAGAGGACGGGGAAGTATCAAGGATCCATCTAGGGTAATGATTCTTTTCCTTGCACCGTTATGAGTAATAATTGCTCCTTAAATAAGTTTGATAAATATGTGATCATATTTTTTAAAAAAATTGTATTAAAGTGAAAGAATTGCACGTCTTAAAATATGGATAAACTTAAATGACCTGTCTTAAAATTTGTGAAGGAGGAATTGTTGAGAGGAAAACCTGGCTATGAACACCTGAATGAACCTCTTCATATCCTAGTTGAGGCAGAATTGCCTGTTGAAATAGTTGATGCTCGCCTAATGCAAGCACGGGAGATACTTGAAGATTTGCTAAACCCTATGGTGAGTAAATTTTTTCCTGGTATTGTGATGATATTAATATTATGTATATGCATTCGCTTAATTATTTTATTTTCGTATTTCTAAAATAGGATGAATCCCAAGATTTCTATAAGAAACAACAGCTGCGAGAGCTTGCAATGCTGAATGGTACACTTCGTGAGCAAGGCTCTCCGATGTCTGGTCCTTTATCCCCCTTCCAAAACAGCCTTGGCATGAAGCGAGCAAAGACTAGGGGTTAAACAAAGCCTCATTGAGCACTGTTGCAGCTTTTGTCTTACTGTCTGCCATAAGCAGCAGTTTCCCGAACATTGCAGGTATTAGCTGTATAGGCAAATGCCTCCATGTGCAGTCGGGGCACTGGCTCGGGCACTGTCAATGTTGTGTGCCAGTTAAGTTAGGCCGTTCTAACTTGTTTTATGTATGAAGTGTGTTTGTGTTGTGTGTTGGGAGAGGTTAAATGCTAGTATTACACAGTAAGCAATGGGTGTGAGTTCATTTTCGAGTCTCGGGTTATATGCATTTGCAGTGCTATGCTAAACTGTAGGTTGCATTATTAGATCATATTATTATTGGTATTAAGCTTTGTAATAATTGACAGTTTTGAAATGAGGGGAACCTATGTAAAGTAAATGTGAGGAAGGACGTTAAGGTTATGGTTTGTATCATATAATGTATTGTATACAGCAAGAACGTGCCAAGTGGTTTTATTTACCCCATAAAAGATCTGGTCTATCTTGGAGTCCTTTTTTTGGGTATTATCAAACTGTGGACTGCACCTTGTTCGATACTCTGGCCGGGCGAACCATCGATCCTTTAGAAGCCTTCCCTGGATCTGTTTTCAAGCGATCGGAGCTGCCTGGCCTTGACCCACTGTCTCTCCCTCCTTTTCCTTTCTTCCATGCATGACTGATAATTTGCATGTTTTGTAGTATTGAAGGCCGACTGACGTGATTCCGATTTTCAGCTATGCAGAGATCAGCGGTGGTCCTGATTAATACAGCAAACAGGTAAAATGGTGGTCCTAAACAGTAGTGCAGTTTCAATTAACCAATCAGGTTCCAATATATCAAAATCTCCATGATTACTATTTTTCAAATAAGATATATGACCAATAAAATCTTCTGAATCAACCGAGAAAAGGCTAAGTTTCTTACGGATCAAAGTCCAATACATTGGTCACTGATGTGTTCTAGGCAATCCAACCTTATAGGCAGATTTGCTTGGATAGGGTATTGAAAAAAATGAATTCTTTTCATTTGAAGTGCAGATTTTCTTTCAAACTGGGCGAATGATACAGTGGTCGAAAATAAGCCGGACATTGAAAAAAATGAATATTTTAATGATGGATTACGAAATTGAAACTTAAACTAAACGTTAAGTATAATTTTAAAAACAAATAAAATTTGAGTATCAAAATGGAACAAAATAATAGTTTAAGTACCAAGAATATAGTTCATCTTATTTATAAGGTTTAGGGTTTAGGCCTCATTTTGGCTGTCCAATACCTTTAGCCCCATTTTTGAAAAGGTATAATACCAAAAATAGTCCTTAATGTTTACCGAAATGGTCGTTTTGGCTCCTATTAATTTTTTAAGTATTTTGACTTCTAACATTTTACTTTGGGACAAAAAACTCATTCTATAGTTGAGAACTAATAGTAAACACATATTAACACTCCAAAATAAGAGCTTTTTTAACCTAAAATGAAACATTGAGACTAAAATATCTTATAAAAAATAGAGACAAAGGCAAAATGAATATTTTAGTAAACTTTGGGGCTAATCTTGGCATTATGGTGAAAATGAACATTTCGGATAACAATGGTGAGCCAGTGACTGACCTACACTCGGCTTCTCTTACCTTCATCTTTCTTTCTCCTTTTCATTTTCTCCAATCCAATACTGAAAATTGCAATGGCGGTATCATCTATCTCTTCATCTCTGTTCCCTTCTTTAACAATCCCAAATTCTTCTTCACCCAAACCAAGGCTTAGCTTTCTATCTCGGCCTTCACCACTCTCTTTCAACCCCTTGAAGCTCCCCAATTGTTCCCTCAAGCTTTCACAGTCCACTAAGGTTTTTGCCGCCCCTGATGATTTGGTAGAGACACCCGAGGTTCGAAAAAAAGTTTCTTTTTTTATATAATTTTGAGAACTTGGGAATTTAATGTTATGGATTTAGTTCTTTGGAATTGATGGGGTTGGGTTTTTAGAACTGTATTTGGGAGTAATTCTTTGTTTGTTTGCTGAGATTGTGGGGGAAAACAAAGATGAACCTTGGGAGCCTATTTGTACAGTTTGATTTGAAGCCCTGAACACCAAAAGGCGAGCTTAGTTGAATTTGGGTTTGATGGGGCTGGATTTCTACAAGTTTATTTGTTTGCCAAGAAACGTTAGAGAAAAAGTGAAACTTTTACCATTTCTGTTTTGTTCATACGGGCTTACCTCATTACTGTTGTACTCAATTTGAAACCCCGAACCCCAGAAAGCTTAATTGTACATTCAATTCCCGTTATTACGATTTGAACTTACTGCTTTGTCTTGCTTGCAGGTTGGAGGCTCCGAGCTGCCCGCTTCTTCCTCCGTCACCTTAGAAGCGGACAAGGTATGTATTCGGGATGGTGAGACTTGTTTAAAACTGTGAGACTGTGATGCAGCTTGAACGAATTCCGGAGTTAACCTCACTGAAAAATATATTTAGATGTAGTATGAGATTTCTGCTTTGATGATAATATTAGTAGTTAGTACATCAGCTATCTTCTAATATTATTCTATTGATGCTACTAGAAGGTTTTACGAAAAAGTTTTTAAGGTTCTTTTCCACCTTGTTCCAGTTTTTTAGCTTACTTTGTCTCTTTAAGAATTGGATGATAGGTAAGTTCTGTAAAAAGTTTATATATGTCGAATCATTATTGGCGATTTTCCCAGTTTTTGTCAGTGCTCATGGAATGCTGCTGTCTTATCTTTGCACATATGGTGATAATCAAGTATGCTATTGATTGTATGTGAGATAATCTTGGCCTAGATGTTTTCATTGTCGAATGGTACGAGGAAGAATAAGTAATGGTGTTGATTTTATTGCTGACCTCTCTTTGCATAAATGGTGAAAATACCAGGAAGGATGAATCATGGGGTCAGTGCTTGCCTGTTCTAGCTGCTAGTAGAGAATTATGTCATGTGGACCGTCAAGCACCTGAACTGCATGTTCTCGAAGAACAATTTACTGTAGTTGACACGGGTCTTGCTATTAGCCATGTTTATTTTTTAAGTCGAGGGGGATTCCGAGTGATTGGAAATCACTAGAACTCCAATGATGAAGTTAAACCACACTAGAAAAGCATACCTTCACCTTGGAGGATTGATGGTAGACTTGATCGATTTAGTATGATCGGATAGGGAATGAGGTGGATGCCAAGGTTAAAATACCGATTCTCCCTGCTTGAGCGGGACATTGCACCTGAGCTTTACCAAACATTGCAAAGAAGACCAAATCCCTGTTAGTTGGTGCCGTCATGCCGGTCGTCCTAGAATGTTTCGTTCCAAGACATTAAAATCTCTCCCGGTGTCCTCTATTGTCCTTGTCTCATGCTGGGTTCAATGATGTGTTCTAGATTTCTGTCTTGATTGACTATATTTTGATCTTGCTTTCTGGCGGATAAATTGGAGAATCTTACTCGAAATTCTTTTTGCAGGCGGCACCTAAGCAGAAGATTAGGATTAAACTCCGGTCATACTGGGTCCCCTTGATCGAGGACTCATGCAAGCAGATTCTGGATGCCGCTCGAACGACCAATGCCAAGATGATGGGACCTGTGTCATTACCAACCAAGAAGAGGATCTATTGTGTCCTTAAATCCCCACACGTTCACAAAGATGCAAGGTTCCACTTCGAGATTCGGACACATCAGCGCCTTATCGATATTCTATACCCAACAGCGCAAACGATTGATTCATTGATGCAACTTGACCTTCCTGCCGGGGTCGATGTGGAAGTCAAGCTCTGAAGAAGGCAACATTGTAGGTTCAGGTAAATTTTTGTACAAGTTGCTAAAGATGTCACTTAAAAAACTTATGTCAAGATTTGCTTCATCTGTTTCCTTGTTATTTCTTCTGCAACTTGAAGAACTTCAAGAAATGCAAATGTTCCAAAGTATTGAATTTGCTGATTGCAAAAGCTGAAGCCTTCTACTTTGCTTTGTTACTGAAAATAAATCGAGGATTATTACTCGATACACTGCCGAACCCTAATAGATAACGACTTTACACCATATGGGAACTAGTGGAAACAGATACGGAAATTTTGCAGCATGGAGCTTTTGACACCGGATCGAGTCCGTCCGACCAATCATTTTGATCGGTCATGGAAGAAGAGGTGGCAAATTTGATTTAGTCCATAGCTATGAATGAAGGGTTTCCCGTAAATCTTATTGAGAAACTATATACTGATATATATGTATATATATATTGCATTTGTAGCATTTCCAAGAAATTTCTTGGTGAAATAATGGATGCCAGAAACTGGAAATGCATAACTTAAACTACTAATATTATCTTCCTTCCTTGTTCCCAAAGCAAAGATGCTTTTCGATTTGGTGAGCTGCAATACTGGTTCTGTAATTATTTTTTTGAGTGGACACTTGTGGAAAAGATTAAACACCCACTTTCTAACAGGAGCTTTCAGATCTCAAAGTTAGGAATTACCACCCAGTCTTGTTTGGTAGCCTGGAAAGTGACAACTTCAAAGAAAGTTGATTTACAATCTTATATATATACACACATGTTATTCTTAAATTTGACTCATTTGTATTAAAAAAGAAGGCTTTAATGTTAATTTTTTAAGGAACGTGAGAGAAAAAGTGAATTATAGTAGTGGGTGTTTTCTTTTAGAAGAGTTCTTAGTAGTTGATTGATTGATTTTTTTTTTATGTTTGTGTTTAACAACGGAATCCAGATTATTCAAGATAAAATCTTAAAAATTAGGAGAACAATAAAAAAATTGTTTGATTTCGATGATTTTTGATCCGATGTAATATTAAAGTAAGTTAATTGATTCAGCTCAAAATGTTTTTTTTCCTTCTACAGTGAGAACTATTGTTGGTGTTCTTTTAAGCTTAGACCAAGCAAAGGAATGTGCATGTACCTTCACCTTTTACATGATATAATGCCATGAAAGACTAGTAATTTTTTTTCAAGCCCCACACGTTAAAAAAGAACAAATTATGTCATTTTACGTAGATTATTAGCAATGAATACAACGTTCAAGAAAACCCTTTTCATTATTCATATGATTACTCCTTGGAAGACAAGTTCACTGGTTAGGTTGTTGGAGGTTCTATGAAAATTATTGTAAAGAGCTCCTTAGATCTCGAATTTATTTTTCTGAAATAATAAAAAAATTACAGTTGTATTACAATGAGCAAACTCACTTGCATTATTTTTTCAAAAATAATTTTGCTTATTAACGAGATTCAAACTTAGGATTAACAAAGTCATGGGCTTAATGATCTAACCACTGCTCTATACCTATTTTTCTATTTTTAATGACAACAATTGATAAATATATTCGATTTCAAAACCCTTATTTTTTGAGACCATGTGCTGTCGCGCATTTTGCACACCCAGCTACGCCCTGGTCAGTTTCTGACCACTGAATCCCATGTTTCTGCATGGTGTGCGCTGAC